CCCGATGACGTTTTATGTAATTATAGGAGTTTTTTTTACCTTTTTTTTACAGATATCGTCACAATTTTTTCGCAGTGTTATAGGAATCGTAATTATAGGGGGGTCGACTGTATATATCTCTGAAACTACTGATTAGAATAGTTTGCAACTTATATAAACAGGACATTGTATTCTTTATGCAGCAAAACAGTTAAAAACTAAAAATATACATCAAACCAAAAACAAAAGTACTAAGCATTATCATAAATTTTTTGCACAGAAAATGATTAATATGGTATGTGATTGATTCCTGTATGTGCACACAAGGCACAGAGATTGCTGGTCATAACATTATTTATCAATTCTGTCAGGAATGAAGTTCATTCTTAAACAAGACAAACATGATGCTTTTATAGTATTCTTAGTAGAATCCAGTGCAGAGATAAAAATGAGATGTACTCATCAATGACTTTTTTGATAGTGAAGTTATTTATCGCATGGAATAGCCAGTATGATCTTTGGACCTAAGTCTCAGAATATATGCAAGATACTCTAGGGAGACGAGTTGCATCCTGTTAGCCTTCACTAAGAACACTTCAGGAGCTTCAAGTACAAGTACTTGAAGCTACTGAACACAGCTGATATATAACATTATGATCAGGGAGAGCAATTGCTATGCAACATATTTGCATGCAAGAAACAACCATATACATCATATTAATCATTTTCTGTGCAGAAAGATCTATGACAATGTACTTTTTGTTGTTTTTGAATTGATGTAATTTGAATAAAATATTTGGTTTTTAATAGTTCTGTTTGTAAAGAATACAATATTATAATATTATACTTAGTGTATGTTAATTATCACACTATTCTGGTCAGTAGTAGAGATTTAGGCCAAATTATTGGTTACACTTATTTTTTTGGATATGAGTATATAGATAATGGAATGTTAGTTTGCTATAAATGCCAGTAATGATCTAGCATTCTGCAAGGATCTAGAAAGTGGTTCTCAACCTTTGAGGCCACAGGACTATTCATATACTCTCTATTTTTCAGAGCATTAGCATATTCAAAAATCAATAAGAAATTCCATGTTTACTATTCTCACAAAACAATAAAGAAATACTCATAAACTTTATTGTATTGAATAAAATAGTAAACATGAATTGATTACAAATAAAGTAATATGTTGTTTGCATTGGAATAACTTTGCAATAAAAACTTTAAATTTTTTTTTTTTCATGGAACACTCGGCAAATTTGCAGAATATGGGATGAGAATCACTGATCTAGAAGTAACCAAAAAATATCTATTCTAAAAGAACTCTTATGCTCTAAGTTTAGATTGAGATTGAACAAATTGTTATTGATTCTATATAAAATTCTTGGATATTAGGTTTGGAATGTGTAATGAGGGATATCATCTATTCTGTAAAATAGCAACATCTTTAAGAATCCAAGCACATAGTCAGATTTTAGTTTATTTAAGAATTCAGCAACTCAGCTATCTTTTTATTCTGAATGTAAGATATATTCTCAAATCAAGAGTGATGGAGATTGTTTACAAAGTGAAAATAACAACATAGATTGAACAAACATCAAGTACTTATAGGATTGTTGTTCAGTGTATTTAATATATAGTCATATATATCAACACACTTTTTTTCAAGTGAAAATAGTTTCAAAATAAAACATTCAAGGTTTATGCCCCAATCAGTGTGTAACAGGTGCACAGAAAAGGCCCAGTATGAAGAGGACCCTGAAATTAAAAATATTATAATTATTATACTGTATTTTCACTTTCAAATTTTGCCTCCTTGTGGACTAATTCTGTAACATATTTGGTAAAAGGTAAAAAGTAACTAACCATTTCTATTGTATTTGTTTTTTTTATTTATTTTCCAAAAAAAGAAGTGTAAAAAATAAAATCTTTCACAGGACACTTGAAAAGTCAGTTATGGCAATGTTCCCAATTACCCAAAATTAACAATTTTAAATTGCAGCCCAATGATACCATTGCATGTAGCTATTAAAGAAGGCACTAATAGTTCTTTTTAGCTTATGTATAAATAACTGCAGAAAATTATTATGTGAAATGCAGATCTTTTTTGAGTTTCTTTCTTAATTTGATAATGTCATGTTATTTAAATTTTCAGGTTCTTTACAATNATTCTGTAAAATAGCAACATCTTTAAGAATCCAAGCACATAGTGAGATTTTAGTTTATTTAAGAATTCAGCAACTCAGCTATCTTTTTATTCTGAATGTAAGATATATTCTCAAATCAAGAGTGATGGAGATTGTTTACAAAGTGAAAATAACAACATAGATTGAACAAACATCAAGTACTTATAGGATTGTTGTTCAGTGTATTTAATATATAGTCATATATATCAACACACTTTTTTTCAAGTGAAAATAGTTTCAAAATAAAACATTCAAGGTTTATGCCCCAATCAGTGTGTAACAGGTGCACAGAAAAGGCCCAGTATGAAGAGGACCCTGAAATTAAAAATATTATAATTATTATACTGTATTTTCACTTTCAAATTTTGCCTCCTTGTGGACTAATTCTGTAACATATTTGGTAAAAGGTAAAAAGTAACTAACCATTTCTATTGTATTTGTTTTTTTTATTTATTTTCCAAAAAAAGAAGTGTAAAAAATAAAATCTTTCACAGGACACTTGAAAAGTCAGTTATGGCAATGTTCCCAATTACCCAAAATTAACAATTTTAAATTGCAGCCCAATGATACCATTGCATGTAGCTATTAAAGAAGGCACTAATAGTTCTTTTTAGCTTATGTATAAATAACTGCAGAAAATTATTATGTGAAATGCAGATCTTTTTTGAGTTTCTTTCTTAATTTGATAATGTCATGTTATTTAAATTTTCAGGTTCTTTACAATAGTGTATAAATTTAAAATTCATAATATTTTAATAAAAATTAAATTTATTAGTTATAAATTAATTAGTCAATTATAAATGTATATTTTTATATTTATAATTAAAATATGAAAATATTGTCACATTAATATTAAATAATCAATATAGTACGTTCAAAATAAGTTTTGTTAGATAAAATTAATTTATTACAAAGCCAATATCTTTTCAATATTATCTTGTTTAATAATTGATTATCAATCATTATTGATTTAAACAAAATAAAAGATATTGTAATTTTAAATAAAAAGGATTTTCCTTTACTAGTTGCTTTCTGTCATATAGTGTTTATTTGTTCTTTTATTTATAGTGTGATATTAAATTTATAAATATATATTCTTTAGTATGGTTTATAAATAAAATAAGTCTTCATTGTCTCATTTTAATTTGACATTTTTAAATATGTGTGTGTAAATATTTATGAAATTAATCTAAACTTAGATGTTGATATACAATAAAAATATCAGAATGTATTAATTAATGATTATGAAATATTTAAAACTAATCTATGAAAAAACAAATGTGGTTAAGGTATTAGCCAACCACTTGGAAACCGGATTAAATTCAGGCAGGCAAAACACCTCAGGAATTTTTCATGGATGATCACTATAAGATATATTGGGGCCTGCTTCTCAGTGTTTGGCTGCTGCCATTGTAGATCTGGCCATATCCATGATTAGTATGGAAAAAGCTCTCTTAGTACCCAAAGGACAGAAAGAGCAAAATTAATATTATTGGGCTGCAATTTGAAAAAATTGTAGACAAATTCCCATTGTCATTCATCCATCTGTCTTTTCTTAATCTCAAGAACAAAGTTAGATAGATGAAATCCAAGACCAGATATGGAAACCTTAGGGGTAGGAAGCCCCAATTAACTATATATGAACTTCCAATGCAAAGCAGAAGTCACATTATTTCAAGTCAAAACTTTTCCCCTGAAAGCAGTTAACAGATGNGTAGGAAATTGCGTTTATGTCCACTCTTGAAAACGAATGCATCATAAATTGTCGTCAAATGATGATAAATGTGTCGTAAAAGAAACTCTGTAGGAAAATTAAATTTACTCTTACCCTACTTAATCTGATGAATAAGTCAATTAGAAAGATTTACAGAAAGACTTATGTTTGGTAGTTAAATTATTAAAACCAATTTTCCAACTTTAAAATCGAGCATCTTCATTTATATTCATTAAATTGGCACTTACATAATTTATATAAATCTGTCTAGATAAACAAAACTTCGGATTAGAATTGCTTTTTTAATGTAAATTTGTTATGCATCTGTTTTAATTCGTTTTCGTATCATTATATGCATATAGTTATATTATTCCTAGTCAGTTTAGCATTAATTAAATTACAGATTTATTTCCTTTAGGATAGAATGTACATCATTAGCGGCATAAATGAACAATTATAATTCGGAACAGTATTATGTTTTGATGGTAGCTTCCTGATGCATATTCATTAGTATCTGCTGTTTCCTATATCGAATGTTGTTGACAGAATCTTTATTCTGTTCTGGATCACGTCTCAACGAACTGTAACAAAAGATCACGTCTGGTCTTTTTCAGTTTTTCTTTTTTCCAGTGGTTTTTTTATATATATATAGGCCTATATATTGGTGTCTCATCCAGAAGAGAACATGTTATTGTTATGGAGAAATAGTTTTGGCTTTTCTGGAATAAAGCCAAGACAGAATTACCAACAGTGCACGTGCACTGTCCATTTTTCGTTTTTCAAAGTTCTCCATTTTGAATTTTTGTCTACTTGGATGTTTGCAAATATTTTGATAATTAAAAATTGGTAAATAATTTATTTCACCTAAAATTTGATTATAATTAGAATCTGTTCCTAACAAAGTTAATAAATCTTATTTGTAAAAATTCTTCCATGTAAATTATCTTGAAAATTCTATTAATTTAGGCTATCTAAATATTTTTTTTGTTTTATAAATAAAAGTATTGATTCTATTCTAGTTAGCAGCACTCTTTTAAAAAAAGTGCGTATTTTTCAGTTAACCGTGTTGGAATTTTTTATCCTCTGTTCTTTTCTATTGAATTCTTTTTATTTAACTATTATGATTTTGAATTTAATGAATTAACAAAAACTAAAAGGATGTTGCTTTACTTATCATTTGAAAGTCTGCTCTGATTAAAAAATTATAAACTACTTATTTAAATGAAAAAAGGTCAACTTCTAAATTCTTATAAAATTAAAGTGACATTTCAAGAGCATTTCGATATTTTTAAGTATAAGTGCATCTTGATATAATTACATTACCTATAATTTAATTAAAATTAAAAGTAGCAGTAATGTAGCCTTGACTACAGTAATCAGATTTGACACTTTGTATTTAAAATTTAATCATCTAGTTTTCTTTACTCGGTAGGTTATTTAGTCTAAGGGAACCATCTACCTACTGTAAATATTATTTTCTGATAATTTAATTTTGTTGTAGGGTCTCCGACTAAAGAAACAACGAAGTACCGGCGACATCGATCGACGTGGAGTGAGTTCTGTTAGAAGTTCTGGTTCGAATTTGAGTTCGGCCAGTTCGGAATCTAGTCAGTCTGGCCTAACACAAACATCCGTCCATACAGACAGCAATGCTAGTTTTGTCAGTCAAGATGATATAATAGATTCCAACGTTATCGAAACTTACATGGGAGAATGGAAGAATGACAAGAGATGCGGTTTTGGTATAGCCGAAAGATCCGACGGTTTAAAATACGAAGGGGAATGGTACAACAATAAAAAATATGGTTACGGTGTTACCACGTTGAAAGACGGAACGAGAGAGGAAGGAAAGTACAAAAACAACGTACTGGTGACGTCAGGAAAGAAAAAGCATCTGTTCCTTCTCAGGTCTGCGAAATTTAAGGAAAGAGTGGAAGCAGCCGTTAATGCTTCTATCAGAGCTTCGCAGATTGCATTACAGAAAGCCGATATAGCCATATCTAGGTAATATTAGAAATATAGTGTTATTTACATATATAACTCGGATATGTTTCCGCCTTCTTGATAGCAAAATATTTACAAAACACGAATTGTTTCTTCTCTTTTAGTAAACGGAAGTTTAGATTCGTATCGTTATGTAAGTTTAATGTTTCTTTAAAAACTAAATAGGTCTACATGAGAAAAGGAAAGTTCACACAAAAGAAAAATAAAGAATTTAAAAAACTCGGGGTCATTGATCGCAAATTTTGGCCAACATTTTACGTCTTCTATATTGTAAGAAAATATTTTTAGCGTGTTTCAGATTTATTAAACGCCGATTTCTAAGTAATTTTAACTTAATTTTTTTTAAAAATAAATTATGAATTTTTGTAAGTATTCATATTTTTATATTTATTTATTTAATAGATTATAGCTTTTTTAAGGAATTAGAATAAAAGTAGTTGTCTTCATAAATTTTATTTGTAACTCTACTTGGATTTAATTTGAAAAAGTATGGATGTGCAATTTTTATCTATTGGCTTAAACTATCAAATAAAATTCATTTTATTGATATAATAAAATAAAATGTTCAACTTTATTGTAAAAAATGCCTTATTTACAATTTCTGAGTTTTTTAATCTAAATTATGTATCTAGAATATTGTGGTTTACTAGCAATTAAAAATTTGTTCGTATTCACTTTGTCTCAATAACTAAGTTTTCCTGAAAACTATGAGTATTAAAAAATGGACATTTTCTGGAAATTATTATTGACATTTCTCACTGAATATTATATCATCACATTTAATAATATTTTATATAATGAATAATTTCATATTAAAATTTGAATTTCTGATTGCTTAAAAATATATTCATAGTCAAATTATTCAATGAGAATAAACTTTTGAATAAAGCAACTGGAATAAATTAAAACAGAGTGATAATTTAAAAAACAAATCCAATTACAGATATGAGATCCTTTCTTGCAATTACTTCTGTTCAACTGCTACTTTATATTATTATATTTTGAATAGTTGAAATTAAATAATGTAAAATTTAATAGTAAAAATAATCAGTATTAGGTAAGAATAATCATATTTATACATACTGTATACTTCATTAATATGTATTATTTGAATTATCAAAAGAGACTCAAAATTTCTATTTATTATAATTTAATGTGCTTTATAAAAAGTAAATTTTTGCTCTAACTTTTATGTTAAACTTTTGTTACAAATGTATTTTAGTATATATTTACTAAATTATATAATATTTTAATAAAAAAGTTATGTTTTAAATTATTTTCATATGTAAATATATCTAAAATTATTAACATTTTTCAAAAGTTTATCTCTCAATATTTTACTTATTACAAAATGAACAACTTTTACCTATTTTTAATTAAATCACATTGAACTAAAGAGTTAATAATGTGTGTATAAGCTATATATAGCAAAACAGTACAATGCAAATTCAACAAAAATATTAACTAATCAAATCAAAATATTAAAAATAATAATAAAGATATTTTTATTTTATATTTTGTTTGATTTATTAAATATTTAAACAGATCATTAATTAAAATTTTAATTTTTTCATTTCTACTATTGGTATTTTGATACATAACTAATTGAATTTTTTCTAATAAAACATGGTGAATATAATACAGTTTTAATTTTCAAACTTGTATATATTGATAAATACAATCTTCTCATACTTTTGTCATATTGATATTATTTGATTGATATTATACAAAATGACTCCAATTGCATTACATAAATATTCTAATTTTATAACTGAATAAATTTTTATATGAGAAAATATTAATTTTTACAGTTTATAATTTTTTTTTAAATTTTTAGTAGTAAAAAAAATGGCGATTTTATTTCTGTAACATATTCGCTTTGTTTTACTAATTTCGAAATTACTGAATTTAGATAAAAAGTTATGCCATAAGTTCTACTGATAAATTTAATGTGTTTTGTATAAAATTCATGTATTTTTTTATTATTATTTTTGGAGTATTCTGGATAGAAGTTTCCTAATACTCTCTTACACACTTTTCACTGGTATAAAAGTTTTTAAATTGTTAAATTTCTTACGTTATGGAAAAATGATTTAAATGTTAGAATTCAAAGAGGAATAATTTATAAACTAACTAAATATTTTTAAAAATGCACGTAATAATTGTTTTTAAATAAAAAGATATGATTAAAATTTTTCAATATATAATATATTGAAAAATTAAATAATATTGATTTTTGTATGTGATATAATAATTTTTTGGCGTTTTTTATTGAAAAATATTTTTAAAGTATATAAAATT